TCTGAGGAAGTCCATAATTCTTGCCGGAATCACATCCAATCATTTATATGAAGGATAGGCTGACAAAATTTTTTCTTTAATTTGATTATGTGTCTTAAATATTCAAGCATTCTTAACTATTTATGTGGTCATGTTATCAGTTGAGGTTTTTTTTTTCGGCAGGTGTGTTTAGCACTTGAAAGTTTAACCAAGAGAATTGATATTTGCTTTATAAGCTTAAGTTAAATTTTTTCTTTACCACTTGTTGGTATGCAGCCAATGAAATATTTCTCTGAGTGAAGAGGCAGTGATATTTTTAATATAAAACGGAAACTAATTTAGGTAACAAATGATTTGTTCTTTTAGGAGTTATTGGACACCACAAGCTGTCCCATTAAAAAAAAAAGAAAAGAAGTTGTCCCATTTTTTTGGCAGAGGGAAAAACTAAGAAAGAGAATGAATTTTCATATCCGGTCATCTTAGGAGTGTCTAGGTACTATCCAAATATGCTGTGTACATTTTTCTGAGACTTTTGTTTGTGATATTAGGAGGTTATATGTTTTTTTTCTTTAATTTCCTTCTCTTTCTGAGGTTTTTGTCTTACTGTTTTGAATAGTTGCCAGTTGTTGATCTTGGTTATCTTTTTAAATATGCAGCTCAATTGCCTGGAACTACTCAGGACCACCTGCAAATATTTAATATTGAGATGAAAGCTAAAATGAAATCACATCAAATGCCTGAGCAGGTAGGATGCTACTTGCTTTGAAAGGATACCTTCTTTATGTAAAGTTCTTTTTGCACATGTTTTACTCTCTTATTTCTGAATTATTTAACGTGTCTTGAGATTTTCAGATTGTCTTTTGGAAGTGGATAACACCAAAGCTGTTGGGGTTGGTTACACAAACATCTGTTTTTCATTGGTCAATAGAAGGTTAATTTTCTGTTTAAGCATGGTCTACATGTTACTGTTTCTGCCAGTTTGCATCACTTTCTGTTCTGACTGGATAAATTAATGTTTTATATCTTTGATTTAGGTGATTCTGAGCCAGTGAAGATGTTTGAAAGAACAGCTAATTTAACAAACAATCAGATTATCAATTACCGGTGCGACCCATCAGAAAAATGGCTAGTTCTCATTGGCATTGCACCTGGCTCTCCAGAGGTACATTATTGATGATTGCTTTTTGCTTGTTTAGTTTTAGTCGCATAGAGAGAATAGGCATAAAAGGGTGTTGATAATGTAAGCTTTTGTATTTTAAGAATTTATACAATTTAAAGCCATCATTCAATAGTTGTCCGGTTATTAAGAATTTAGATTTTGTGGTGACCTGGGATCAACGTTTCTTTGCACTTGGACAAGGCATCACTATGGTTATTGCT